TGGGCAAGATTTGACACAGTATATGTGTATAACATTGTAATACAATGCAATAGTTTATCTACCATATGGAATTAAAAATGACAGCCCTTTTATCACATGCAAGTATCCTGAAAGACTATATTACATAGTGCTTGTGAGATACTGTCTGCAAGCGTTTGTGTATATTCTTCACTGTACAATCTACCTTTAATTTCTTGAACAGTACTAACCAAACCCAACCCTAATTCCCATGGTTAAAACACACTGTCTCTCTTGTCATGTGGAAACCGGTTACAATGCTTTATGCTATAGCTTTCAGCCTTATCAGTTCTTACAGATGTGATGGTGAGATTCTCTGTCAAGAGGATATCCACTTCATTTTTCACACAGTGACATGAACTATACAATATGTGTTTATTCTAATATAATTTTTAGTATTTGCAGTACCTTTATGAGTGTTCATGGCTAGCAGAGCACTCTGTGTGTTGCAGAAAGTAACTCTCAATTAGAAATCTGTAGCTAGAAATATCTCCACTAAGCCAGATTATGTAGAGCTAGCCCAGTCAGGAACTAGCAAAATATTGTCTTTAAACACAAATAATCACATTCGTCTTTGCTCTCAGAGGGAAGGAATCCGCCAGTGCAGCTTTCATATACATTATTCAGAATTCAAGATGTTCAAGTGATGGTTGGAAGGGCTTAGTGTTTACAGAAACTGAAGGGGATAGTATTTTTTTCTCAGTGGTACAGAGTAACCATGTAGGGTCTTACTTATATCTGTATTCATTCATGTTATATGCATATGGTCAGAACTTGTTGTTCAGCCCTTAGAAGCATTAATGTTACTTGACATACAAGTAACATATTTTTTTAAACAGATTTTGGGAGATGAATATGGTATTAGCAAATGTGATAGTAATGTATAATATTCTTTCAAAGACAGGGGATAAATTGAGTCACATTTAGAAGCCTTTATGTCATAGGGGCACTGAGAATTATCCTCATATTTCCATTATGCACAACTTGTAGGCAGGTTAACTTATATTTCATATATAGTGAAAGGTGTAAAACATATTAATCTGCCCATATGTTGATAGGTAAAATGTATGGAATGAATTCTGAATGGCTTCATCTATCAGAAGAGCTTTTTCTTATGATTTTTAGTCAGTTAAAGGTATTTGTATGAATGGCAGGCAATTAGTTAAATATCATTACCCAAAAAGTTGGAAGCAGGGCTATATGTGGACTGAAAACCATGTTTTTTTTAGCAAAAAATACCTGAGTCCTTTGATGAAAGTGTGTCAATAATTTTAAGCAAGGCCTCTTTGCATGAGAAGTTATTGCCAATGTGATCAGTATTAGTTAAATGAGGGAATGGTTGCCATTAAGTCATATGTCAACCAAGGATCATGTAATTAAGATATTAAAGAACACGAGATAGAGTATGCCATTGTGAAATCTGGCATTGCAAGTCCTTAGGTTTAATCCGAAGTGATGAGTATAAGGAGATGGAGGAGAAGGATGTGAATTATTCTGTCAGTGATGATAATAATGTATGTATCTTGCCATATGCAAGACTTGGAGTTTGATACAAGACTATATCCTCAAGAGCTAAGATGAGAAATTCAGAAATGATCAGATATTTCAAAATATAATTCAGGTTTCACATGTCAGTATTTTATCTTGAAAATATCTAATGGTCAAGTACATATACTAAAGGAAATGGTAGTTTTGTAAGTGCCTAGCTGAACTTACACACATGCACCAAGAAAAAAGTGCAATGACCTCTGAAACATTTCTTTCAAGTCACACCTTTTTTTCCAATAAGCAACATGTTTTGTTATGGATGATTTTGTTATGGTGAGCCTCTTACAGGCCCAGACTGTAACGAGGAAATTTCTAGGTATTTTAGAGAGGTAGTTCATTATTCTAAGCTATGTTTTGTACTTTTAAAAACTCATGTAAAACAAAATTCCATAACTGTTCTTCTAATTTCAGCCTGCCTATCCCGTGGCTGTTGTATGCCTTAGTTCAAGTGATCCAAAATTATGCGAATGAAAGGGCAAACCCGTGGTCGGTGGATCCCATTTTTGTAAACTCAGGTATGAATGCATTTTGTTGTTTGGATTTTCATCTTGTTCATTGTATGATTATAAAGGAACCTCGAGTTAAAGGGTAATAGTGATTCAGATGGCTAGGAAGACTATTAAGTTGAGCTTTGACATTTTGATATAGATGCGGATATTTGATGAAGAAAAACAAACTCAAACCTGCATTTTTTCTTTTTTCTTTTTCAGAGGGCATGGCATGCTCCATTCTGCTGCTCTTCACCATGCTCATGTTCGTCATTATCTCCATTGCTTGTTCCAAGTGGAAGATGGCCAAAGGTCTTGGCTTTGGAATGTTCTTCCTGTACTTTGTATTTGTTGGAGTCTCTCTCAGCTTCGAGTATGATGTCATCACATGCATAATCTGAGATGCCTGGGGCCAAATTTTCTACCACTGTGCAAGTGCATTTGTG